CTCTTAGGTGCTAGGACTACAGGTGTTCAGAGTTTATGAACAGGGAGTGGGGTACTCTTTAGATTTTAGAAGCTGGACAGAACACACAGAGAAGTGGACACGTGGGCCGTTCTCAGGGCCTTGTTCATTGAAACAAGTATCATTCCAGCTTCTTCCCTTGAAAAAAGGCACTGCAGTGTCTAGTCATACCTTTCCCTTAGATGTATATATCTTTTTAAAGTTTAAATTCATTTTAACTGACACATAAAATTATACATAATGACATGTGATTTTGAAAAAATATTTGCCCCTTTTTTCTTCTCTTCATAGACAGGATCTCAGATAACCCAGGCTGGCCTTGAATTTGCTATGTAACTAAGGATGACCATGCCTCCTGGCCCTCCTTCCTTAGTTCCCCTAGTGCTGGGATTCCAAGCATGCTTCACTATGCCTAACTTATCATGTACTGTTCTAACACATGTACATGTTCTGTGTTTCTGAGATCAATTTAAATATATCTCCATCAACATTGATCATTTATGGAACACACTAAGCAGCCTTTCTTATGGCTCCAAGTCAGGAGCTGAGATACACCTGGGTATTCCGCAGCCAGGAGGACAGGCCCAGAACGCAGCTCCCTGGGAGGGTTAGGCTTGCCTCCACACCAGACAGGTTGTCAGCAACACACCCGTCACGTACCAGTTGAACAAGTGTCAGAGGAACAGTGGGGATTCTGGAAGTTGGAAGTCACAGTCTAGTCAGGGAAACCTCAGCACTAATAGCAGGGAACAGTGGGGGGGGGGGGCTCCTTGGCCATGGCCCTCTGTGCATGGAGGGGCTTCTCCTGAAAGACTGCTGTGCAGTGCTAGGCAGGGAAATGAAGGAAAAAGCACTGCCCTGTGGTAAGATCACTGGACCAATGAGAGGAGCCAGTGCATGACTGGATGCTGATGGAACCCTGTGTCAGCAGCTCTGGGGGTTACAGGCACCAGCTGACAGGACTGCTATTTGGAAGCTCACTGTTTTCTCTTTTCAGTTTAGTGAACATTCTAAAAACTAAATGTAGAACATTCGACTGGCGTGGGTTTAAAGCAAGCATGGAACGTAGAGATGTTTTTCTGGAGTACTGATTTAAATTGTAATGACTGCTCACGAGAAAGCAGGATCACAATGTTGTAGGGCAGAGCGAAGAGACGGAAGGCAGGGAATGATTACTCAGACCTTGGCCTCAAGCCCAAGTCACATGACTAAAATGGACAGAGGATGGGCAGAAGGGGGCAAGTTTTCCCATCCACACAACTCTGACTGGACCCACAGCCTCCTCTCTGTGGCCCACCAGTCATGTGATCAGTGTCACTCTGCAGCACATTCAAGGCCTCTTTGAGCCTGCCTCTGCCTGTGTGCTTCCCTTAGTTAGACTTTTCTAGAGTTCTGATTTTCTCCTTGACATCCCGGTATGTGTGTCCCAGCAGTAGGACAGGTGACAAAGCGTTTCACAGATGTGAGGGTTAATCTTGGTTGTCATCCTGATTGGATTTGGGAGCAACCAAGGGCCTTGTCTCCCGAGTGGGTCCTATGAGGACATGCCCTAGAAGGACCAACTGAGGACAGGAGTCTCCCCAGGGTAGTGCCTTCTAGCAGAAGCCTGGATATGGAGTTCCAAGAAAAGAGTGGGGCTGCTGTCTGTCTGCGCTCCTTGTTGCTAAGTGCATCTACTCTGCTGCTGCTGCCATTCTTCACTGACATCAGAACCCAGCTTCTTTGATCAATGCATTTGAAGACCAGAGGCTCTCCAGGAATCCCTCTGTCCTTTAGCACCAGCCTTGCAGAATATGCAGTTCCTGGGTTCTTAGTCTCTCCAGTGTGCAGGTGTCCACAGCTGGACTCACTCTCCGATTGGGTAAGACAATCTAATACATTCTTTTGTAAACATGAACATTCTGTAGGGCCTGTTCCTCTAGCGAGCCTAATGCAACAGATGTGGGCCCCAAGGCCAAGATGCCCTCGCCTGCACACAGGGTACACTGTACTCTTTTCTCTTGGGGTTTCCAGAAACATGACACTCCCACTGTCTATCTTGGAAAGAGCTCTGCTCCTGACACATCATCTGGCCTCCTGGTCCCTCTATTTTCAAGAGCATTCCCTGGCTTAACTACCTAATGAAGATGTAGGGCATAAGCTGTAAAAAACAGCCCCTGGGCCCTCAGTAGGTGACACATGGGCACCCAGACACAGTGCGGGAAATGCACTCCTTTACCTGTTTAATGTCACTTGCCATCAGCATCAGTCCTCTCAAGTGGCTCTCGCCCACCTGACTCTCTGTAGGGCCCCATCTAGTGCTCAGTCTCCTCCAGATGCTGGTTTGACCATCTTGTTCCACAAGCAGCTTCTCTCCCAGGTACTCCCTCAAGGGGCCCTCATTGCCTGGTCTAACAGTATTCCAGGAGCATCAGACTGAATAGACAATAATCCCAGTAGTAAGCATCATCCCAGCAGGGACACCATGCTCCAGTCCTTCAGAGCTAGGCCCAGGCTGTGAGGCCTACACACTGCTGGTGTCTATCATTGTTGGTGTCTATCATGATCTATACTTCCTAGTTAACCATACTCAGGCCATGGGTCTGTCCCAGACAACAGTCCAAGCCAGTGACTCCTTTTTTGTTTGTTTGGTTTTTTGAGACAGTTTCTCTGTGTAGCCTTTGCTGTCCTGGAGCTTGCTCTGTAGACAAGACTGTCCTCAAACTTACATATGTTATATATACATAAAACACTCACGGCTTCTTGAAATTAAAATGCCCCTGCTTACACTCGGTCTCCTCCTACGAGTATCACCCAAAGTGGGGGGGTGGGGGTGGGGCAGGCCTGCCAGTGTAGTTCACAACATACTCCAAGCCTAGGGCCTGCCATGGGAGTTGGGACAGTAATGCACAGTGAGTGTGTAAGGAGCACAGCCGTCCCTGCTGCCCTTACCCACCTTGCAGAGGCACTGATACTCAGCTGTAGCAGCCATCTTAGAGCCACCAAATCAAACCCACAAGCCTCATCTTTAAGATCCCTGGAGGTAAGAAAAATGTCTCTGTCTTAGCCAAGCAGTGGGGCTTAGAATCACAGGCTGAGTGGTTATATCCAGAGGTATTTTAAAGTCCAGGGTTTTCTGAATTTAAGGATATCTGCACAGATTTTACTGTTGACACTCAAACGGTTTTGGATTTCAGAGCATTTGAGATCTGGGAGCTTGGACTTGGGGATGCTCAACCTACACCAGAATCCCCATATCTCTTGATTGGCATCTGCGATTGATCTTGGGAACAATGACCTGACTTTCAGGAAGAACTACCGTCCTAGAGATTATGTAATGTGTACAAGATCATGTAAACTTTCAATTGGTTTTGCTGTTCTTTAAAATATTCTTTACCCTGTGTGGATCGAGTCCTCTGGTGTAAAGTCTAGCTTCATACTCCTTCACCACACAGCCCATCGACAGCTCTCTTGAGAAGACGAGAGTCTGTGTAGTTTTCAAGGATCTGTAGGCTGTGAGTCTTCCTTTCCTAGGTCACCACGGATGTGGCATGCTGTATACAACACCTTCCCTAGACATCTGCATGTAACAAGCCCATGCTGTACTATGCCAGCAGCTTACTGAGCAACCTTGACTCATACACCTAATCTTTCTGTTTGTTAATCTCTCCTCGAAATCAGGGAGTTTACTAAGCAAGTGCATTAACCTTCACGCTCTGTGCTTAGCACCAGAGAACACAGCATCTAAGGTGGTGGCTCTTCCAGGGACAAGGCAGCACAGCCTTGTCCTCCCCCTGGCAGTGTGTAGAGGACAAAGCACCAAGCGCCTGCCACTTCAATGAGCACACACATGGGGACACTGCAGAAACCCCACTGAGGCCCTGAACGACCAGGACCAGAAAAAGAACCAAGCAGCTCCATGGTGAAAGGCGCTCTCTGAACTTCTGATGCAGATGTTCGAACAGCCTGATAGGAAAGGAGCACAAGGTTGACTGAGAGGATGGCAATCCACACTTCTCCAGTACTGGCCTGAAAGTCTTCCTGCTTAGGGAAGGAGGAACAGGGAGGAGGAAGACTGACTCTCTCCCTCTCTGTCTCTTTCCTTTTCTAACGATTCAGGAACCTTGCAGAAAAGACAAGCACTGAGCGGCATGTGCAAAGCCAGAGCCCCTGTGAGAAGGGAAGAGACCCTGTGAGCAGAGGCAGAGACATCTGGGCCCTCTGGTCCTTCTGGGGCTGGGCTGAGCCCTTTCCTGACATCTCATCTGAAGCTTAGTGTTGCCCTCGTTTGGCCTGCCAACAGAACGCAGCCTCCCACCCACCTTGTCACAGCTTCACGAGTGGTTCTCAGATTCTGCTCATCTCAGGAGCCAGAAAGGTCAAGTAAACAAACAGAACAAAACTAACTTCCCCCCTTCACCCCCACCTGAAATCAAAGAGTTTCAACTTCTAAATTTATTCCTTCCAAAATAAACCCTTCTTACTTAAAAAAATTTTTTTTCCTTTAAAGTTTTAGAAGGTAAACTAGACATGGTGGCTCACATTTGAAATTCCAGCACTCAGGAGGATGAGGCAGGAGGATTGCTACAAGTCCAAAATTATCCTCAACTAGCCAGTGAGGCTGTCTCAAACAAATAAATGACCACCACCACCCCTCCCTCTGTAAAGGTTTAGAGTACTGGTTCTCAACCTTTGGGCCATGACCCCTTTGGGGGTTAAGATATTTACATAATGATTCATAATAGTAGCAAATTATAGTTCTGAAGTAGTAATGAAATGAAGTCTGTGGTTGGGGGTCACCACAATGTGAGCGACTGCATTTAAGGGTTGCAGTATTACAGGTTGAGAACTACTGGTTTAGAAGGTATGAAACCCAGAATGGTGGGAGTTTGAGCTGAAATCCTACCCCGATCAAATTTTAATCTGGTTTGCTGTCTGAACCTTCAGCTGGCAAGCAACAGCTTTTTAAACCACAACCCACCTCCCTCTGTGAGGACTCACTCTCAGGAGTCCTTGCTTGGTGGCTCTTGGGCAGGCATCTCTGTCACTCTAGCCCGCTTGCTCAGTTCTTCACCAGGAGGTTCCTCAGCTGCTTCTAGCTTGCGTTTGGGGGAAGCTGGGCCACTGGATAGTGGTCTGGGGCCTGTGGAGAGGCAAAGAAACAAGTCATAGTTATATACCATAATGATCTCATGCTGTGCAGACTGCTCTTTGGGGACAGGGAGCCCTGGCCTGGCCTCCTTTTCAGTGGTGACCTCACTTGGAACTGTATGAGGGAGGGCGTGGCCTGGCTTGCTGGCAGCAGAGCCAACTTCTGGTGCTCAGATCCCTGGCTCCAGGCCAGAGACTCATCTGGCCTATCGGCAGTCCTTGCTCTGAAGGTGGTTTCCCTTTGCAGACCCGGGAAAATCCCAGGATTCTGGCCACTTTCACGTTGTAGAGCATCCTGAACCTGACCAGCACCCTTGCTCTTAGCTGCTGCTTCTCCTGCCTAGACTCCTGAGCCACCTTGTTTCTCATCTCCCCACTGTCTACTGTTGGTGGCAGGCAGCGGGGTTTAAAACCTCAGTGGGACCTCGCCTTGCCCTGCTGACTTCCTTCAGCAGGAAGGCAGGGCACCTTGTGCCAGAGCTGCTCTGCTCCCCTCATCCCTGGCTCTGGATCCTTCTGCTCCTAGAGTGGGCTCTGCTTGTGCCAGCTTTGGGGCCTTTCTTGCTATTTCCTTTCCTGGTTCTTACCGAGATGATGCTAAACAGTGCTTAAAGAGGTGCCCTTGGGCTGCTCCTACTTAAAGTGGCCCTAAAGAAGCCCTATTCCAAGACCTGCATCAAGCCACTCAGTGCTACTTCCCTCCAAAATTCTTAATGACCGTTCTTATTTGATTGTCTTACAATGTGCCTTAGGTGGGACATAAGCTTCATCAGCCACATGGTCACTCTGGCCTCAGCCCTGAGTGACTAATGTGGTGGTGGCACAGGCCACAGAAGGCCAGGGAGGCCAGAGGCCAGGGTAACTGACTGGTCACCTGTGCTGCTGATGCTCCCAGCCTGGCTAGAACCAGGCTCTGCCACAGGGTGACTGAGGTCTTCCACACAGGAAGGGACAGATGCCAGCAGACCTGGGGATTAAGTAAAGGGAAGTCAGAATGCACACAAGATTAAGAGGGCTGCAGATGACGAGAAACAAAGGAGCGAGGAGGGCAGGACCATGACACAACCTCCACCTTTCCCACCACCCCACAGCTGCTTCAGCAGCCCAATCTGGCCCAGCCTGCAGTGTCTTTCACGGCCTGGGGTCAGCAAACACCTGAAAAAGCTTTCAGGCTAAGTCCTCCCCTGGTGAGTGAGATGTCAGCGGGTAGGGGATCCTTACAGAGTCCCCGGTATCGCGACAGCTGTTGGTAGATTTGCTTCATCCGCTCAATGTTGAGCCGACTAGTCTCTGCATGATTGACGATGGGCCGTGGGTAGTCCACGCCAATGATGCACTTGGCGGCCTTCTGAACTGACTCGGGGGCATTCCAGGGCTCATAGATGTATCGGGAGGGGAACCCTTTCAATTTGGGCAGGTATCGCCTGAAACACACACCAGGTGATGTATCAGCATACTGGGACTCTTCTTTAAAGGGCCTACGGTACCCCAGTCCAGGAAGGGGCTACAGTGGTCCAGAGCCAAAGAGTCTGGTGTGCGTCCTTACCGGATGTAGTCCCCACTAGGGTCCGTACGTCGGCCGAAGCCCACAGGGCAGTAGCAGTGGAAGAACTGTTGGAAGAAAGCGCTGCAGGACAGCCACATCCAGCTGCCTGCGTTCACGCTGAAATCTGCATCCAGGAGCAGCTCGTCAAATACCTAGATGGGGGAAAACCAGCCTCCTTGGAGACCTGACACTCTGGTTCTTTCCAAATCTGTAACACTGTAATACCCTCAGGGAGCCAAAGCCCTTCTGTTGAGGGCCCAGAGGATGCGGAAGGGATCTCTTGGACCGAGGGATCCCACCCCAGCCCCAGCCTACAAGGAGCTGCCCTTGGCTAGGCCTGGTCACAGGGTACAGGCTAGCTTGCACTCACCCGGACCCCGCTCTCCCAGCTGACCCAGAGGTCCCCGCGGGTGAGGAAGCAGGCCACGGCGTGCCGGGCCAGGTGGTGGATCCAGCCCTCCTGCCTCAGCTGGGTCATGATGGCGTCAATCCAGGGGAAGCCTGTCTTGCCCTCGGCCCACTTGGCCAGGGCTTCGGGGTTGCGGTCCCAGGGGATCTGGATGCAGATGGGGTTCCCCTCCATTCGGTCAAACCTGGGGTTGTTGGTGGCTGCTGTGTAGAAGAATTCTCGCCACAGGAGTTGTCCAAATAAGGAGAGGGGGGGTGTGCTGTTCCTCTTCACCTAAGGGGTGGGCATAGTACACAGAGATGAGTGCCTGCCTGGTTCTTAGCACTGTGATGCTCAGGTCTCCTGCACAGAACAACCTGGAGTGTCTTCCAAGCGCCATGGGTCTAAATCCCTGAGGTGTGCAGAGCAGACTTATAAGATTCACAGTGTAGAACATGCAGCCCTGCCCTGGGTACCAGGAATGTCTTCAGAGGGAGGGTGGGGGAATGATGGTATGGAATGCTGCCATGGGAACCAAACTCCTCAAGACTACTCTCAATCCTGTGGCTCTACCTTCTAGAAAGCTGAAGGGATTTTACACATCATCAGCAATTTAACATGAAATCTGAACATCTAAAAAACTCACTGAATCCAGAGAAGTTGAGCTGGTGTCTACGTAGAGCCTTCACCTCGACTAACTAGTGTTCACAGTACTGGAACGTACTCTGCATGTGACCAGAGGAGAAAGGTAAACACCAACTGAGTTGCAAACCTTCCGATCTACAACGGTGACCTGCCTGAGACACTCTGGTACAACAGTGACACACACGCTGTGAGAGTGACCAGCCATTATGTGACTGAATAAAGACCCACTCCATGAGATGGGGCCATCCCTGACACTTGCTCAGGGGGCCACAAACCTATAGGCAAACCAAACACTACTGTTCTGCTAAAGGAATACAGCCATAAAATGACTTCCAATCACATACTGCTCTATGGAGGGTGTCTTGCTCTGCCATCATCAGAGAAGCTTCCTCTTGTGGTAGATGGGAACAAATACAGGGACCCCCAACTGGACAAAGTGCAGAGAGTGAGACACTTCGGAATACTCAGTCCTGAATAGGAATGTCTCCATCAAATCTCTCCCCTCTGCTCAGAGAACTCTTTGGAAGAGGAGATGAAAAGACTATAAGAGCCAGAGAGGTTGGAAGACAGCATGGAAACAAAGGCCTTCCAGACACAGCAGGACTGAAGCACTGTGAGCTCACGGGACTGTGGCTGCATGCACAGGGCCTGCACAGGTCTAAGTCAGATGAGGTCCCAGATCAGAGGAAGTGGACACAGCCACTATCCCTAACCCAGAAGCTACCTCCCAACTGATAACTGCTCACAAAGGGAATACAAACTGCACTTCAGGGCAGCAGTAGATATGAACACAAGTAAACTCAATGGTGGCTTTTGGAGGATTTGGGGAATGGGGGAACTCATAATACTTTGGCTGTGCCCCCCTTCCTTCTTTCATTTAAACTTTGCAACATGCAGGTCTTTTGCTTATACAATATGATCTTTTTTATGCTTTTATGGGACTTCCATGTGTATGAATATACGTGTCTGTGCTTTTATGTGTTTCTTGGGCTTTTTCTTTGGCTCTTTTTCCTCCTGTTCATTAGTTTTGTTCAATTTATCTTTGTTTTTTTTTTTTTTTTTTTTTTTTTTGTAGCTGTCTGTTTGTATTCCAGGCAGAGAAAGAAAGGCTGTGGACTTGAATGGGCAGAAAGTAGGGAGAATCTAGGAGGAGTCGGGGCATGGAGAGCTGTGATCAGAATATACTGTATCAAAAAAATTATAAAGTAATAAGTTTGGATTTTTGGTTATAATAAATAATGTATAAACAACAGTATGAGACATGAACAGATTAGGTGGGACTCTATACAAACAATGATTTTCTCGTCCCCTGATGACCTATCCAGCAAACCTCTAAAGCTACCCCATTCCATGAAGCTGATACTGGCCGGGCTGGGGAAAGCAACACTAAAAATCCAAGGCACAGGATGACCCAGGGAGCATCTCTATGGAATGCTCTAGCAGAGCCTGCAGGCTGCATGCACGGTCCTGTATGCAGTCGGTCCAGGACAGCCCTGGACTTCTGCTCCAGTGAGGGCAGCTGTGCCTTTGCTTATGGCTACCTCTGGGCTCAACACTCACTTCCCAACCCAGGTCCCAAGCCTTTCCTTATCAGCTGCTAGTGAATATACCAGCTCTAAAGCCCCTAAGGCCAGCCTTTCAGTCTCCAGAACCACAGGAGAATCTGGGTTCATTCACATCAGTGACTCAGTTGTGCCCAGCTGTCACCTCTAGGAAACCAACCATCTCTGGCTTCTTTGAACTGTCTCCAAAATTCTCACAGCCCAGCCCCAAAGCCAAAGAGAAGGGTCCTTTTTTGGGATGACTGGCAATGAGTGCTATCCCTAGGGGCAACTGCACATGCCCTCTGCACCTCACCTTCTTGTACAAGTCCCACAGGCGGTAGTAGAAGAGGCGGCAGGAGAGGCATCCAAAGCGCAGGTAGGGGCTGAGGCCTGTGGGGCTGGCCAGCAAGGAATTGGCATTCATCCGAGGTCTCTCATAGTTGGCAACCCAGGCCTGCAGAAGAGAGGGAACAGAAGGTCGGCCTGGTGTTACAAGATGAGGATTCCTCAGCTAAGGTCACAAAACAAAACAAAACCAAAGAAAGGTCCTAGAGCCAGGCCTAGAGAACCGAGTGCATTCCCCTTTCCTGCCTGGGGACTGTAGGAAAGAAATGGCCAAGTTATTGTCCTGACTTCAATGTTCAGTCTGTGGGATGACTGAGAATGACTTTTTTTTAAAAAAGATTTATTTTATATATGTGAATACACTGTTGTTATCTTCAGACACACCAGAAGAGTGCATTGGATTACACCCATTACAGATGGTTGTGAGCCACCATGTGGTTGCTGGGAATTGAACTCAGGACCTCTGGAAGAGCAGTCAGTGCTCGTAACCGCTGAGCCATCTCTCCAGCCCCTGAGAATGACTTATTTAGCTCCTCATCTACTTAGCCATTAAATAAGAACATTCCCCATCTCTGTGGAGTAACTGATGTAGGAAAGAACACTGAGAACATGGAACAAACTCTGTAATAATATAGAAGGCGTATGCTTTACAAGAAAACAGTATTCCTAGCTCAGTCACCAGAAGCCTGAGGCTGCCACTGCTGGGGACAGCATACAATGACAAGGACTGCCTGCAGTAGGCCGGGATGGAGACATCTCAGTAGCCCGTGGCAGCTCTTTGTAAAACAGCTGTACCCATTTCTCCTAACCTTAGCCCTGGACAATGCCTGTATAGATTTCATTTGTGGGTGACTGTTTTTCAGTTGTCCTCGGTGTGCATAATTATTCTATTATATTTGACTTTCTTACTTCTTTCTCCTTCTGCTCTGGTGAATTCTGTGAAACTAGATATTCCTTGATGTAATGATTCTTAAACAATTAAAAATGGAGGCATAGGACACAGCACAGTCCTAATGGCCCAGGTGCATCTGTGTGTTCTCATCTTGGAAACAATGAAATAACTGTACAATGGTAGTTCCAGATTAATGTTTGACTTGCAAAGAAAGTTTGAAGAAATTATTAGAAAATTAAATAGAGCCAACATTGGGACCCCAAGAAAGGAAAAATCTATTGAATTTATCAAGTAAGTTTTACATAACATTTAAGAGTGGTTCCTGTATAAAGAAGTAGAGAATACATAAAATCTTATACTAGTAAAACTAAGTCAAAATACTGGGACTCTTGGGAGAGTCATTGTGTGCAATGCACAGAAGCAGAAAGCTAGTGGAACTACTGAGTTAAGGGTTAACTTGATCCTTTCTGGCCACTGCCTGGCAGCTTTGCCCATGTCATTTATCATTAGAGCTTCATAGGAAAATGCAAGGAGCTGATCTCGGAGCTCTGAGCTCTGAAGTATAATAAGTTAAAAGTTAAAGTTTAAATAATGGTAAGTTTGCAATTATTATTATTTTGGCTACAGGCCTGGGAATAGGGAAGCTTGAAACTTTGGGGAACAATTGTAATTCTTAATTCTTTGTGGGACGTGGTTATTCTTTTGAATTTGATTTGGCAATGATTATAAAATGTCTTTTTTGTATCTGCTTTTGGAGTATCAATACAAGATGAGAAAAAGGCGAGAGAGCACAAGAAGAGCATGTGGAGAGTGAATGAAGAGAGAATGTGAAGAGTGAGTAAAGAGAGAATGTGAGGTGTGTATGGAGAGTGTATGTGTGAGTGAGAGGAGAGTGCATGTGGTGTGTGTGAGGTGTATGTGAGATGTGTGTGAAGAGTGTGTATCAGAGTGAAACAGGAATGCACAGAGGTGTGTAGGAGTGTGGGTGTTCAAGAAAAGCACACCGGAGAAAAGCAGAGTGCACAGGAGAATGCAGAGTATGTGCAGCCTCAAGCTGTGAGCAAATGAACGAGAGAGAAAGAAAGCAGAGAGTGAGAGAGAAGAGAGAGAGAAACTTTAAGCCTTGAAAAATTGCTTGTCAGGCAATTTTCAGATATCCCTGCCTCCAGTTGAGAACTCCGATCCCGTGTCAAGGCTGGACCCTGACATGCCACCGCAGGGCCTTTGCATCACTGTTGAACAGCCAGCAACACAGGAAACTCTCAAGCCATTTCCAAAGACCAACAGAGCCACTCACTTCTGGGGCCTCTTGTCTTTCACGATTGGTCTTGTTTTCCTCTTCCACTGCCCCTGGCACACTGCTCTGCTTTTCAGAGACACCATTCTGAGGATTCTCACTAGACTGTAACAGTACTCGGAATATCAATTATGCTATCATCTTCTACAAACAGAGTAACTGGGCTCAAAATACTTCTGTGACTCTCTTGGGGTCAGGGTCCTGGAAAGAGACAAATTACAAAGAGCCTGGGAGTCTCACTTTAGACTCGTCTCCATGCTACCATCTCTGTTCCTGACACCTTTCCTTCCTGTCCACTCCAGTTCCTCCCTCTCTGACTTCAGGTGCCCTTCCTTCCTTCCTGTGGCGAGCAGGCCAGAGCAGCTTAAGAAAAACCTTACCCTTCCTCAGCCAGTCCAGGATAACTCCTCTATTTTCAGGGACCCAATATCATTGACAAGCTTTCCCATACCTTCTTCCTCTCTGAATGAAGTGAGGACGTAGTTGCTCCAAGGTATCATGGAGAAGGATGCTATTGTGGATATGAGGGAAAGTTCATCCAGAGGCTCTGAACAGGGCCATGGACAGAGAGAGAAGGGCAGGGGAGAGGAAGAGGAAGAGGAAGAGGAAGAGGAAGAGGAAGAGGAAGAGG